TGCTCTTCAGATCGTTTAAGTATGAGTTATAAATTGCGTTGTACTGCAGTTGAGGTAGATGAGCGTCTGCGAATGCAATTACATCAAAAGCAGAACGATGATGTGAACACAAATAAAGATACAAATAACTTTTCAGAGAACTTTCTAAATATTAAACAAAAGATTATAGACGAGGAGAACGGTCTGCATTATCAAAATGATACACAAGAGATCAGAGATAAAATGAATATTCATGATTGGAACACAATTCGAGAGAATATTGATGAAATTAGTTATGAAAAGGAAGCTGTTATTTCAACACAAGATAACGAAACGGCAGTGTCAGTTGACTTAGTGACCAAAATTAATATTGTTGAAATTGAATCTGAAGATGTGATGGAAGCCTCGATAGAACAAACTAACAGCTCCAATTTTGTTAAAAATAAAACTGCAAACGACTGTCAAAGATTTTCAGAACATCAGACACTCGAACAAAATGAACAATCGTTTTATTGTCACACTTGTAAAATTAACTTTGAAAAGGAGCAATATTTTAAAATCCATATGAATATACATGAGGAAAATACTGTTAATTGTACAACGTGCTACTTTGCAAAATGTTCGTCTATGTACGATCTGTTTCTTCATAAACGTAAAAAGCATAATATGTTTAAGAATATAAAACGATTAAAATACGCGTGTATGAAGTGTGACAGATTCTTTGCACATAGTTCGACTTGGGAGAACCACAATAAGAATAAGTGCATCAATATAACCGATAAGTGTTGCAAATATTGCAAAGCGAAATTCACGACACGTACCAAATTGATACTCCATTTGAGGGTAACTTTATTATAAATTATATATATATATTGTTACGCCCGGGGCGGTGATCTCGCGTTCACGCACTCGTTCGCGTAACGTTCGCGCTTCCACACTCGCGTTCGCGCACGCGCACCGGAAGATCGCGGGGAAATAAAAGGAACACCAAATTAAGAACACAAGGAACACTCTCTTTATTATAACTGTGAACAGATAACGTAGCGAATAGATAGAGCAGAGCAAAACCCGTCCGCACGCACGATGGCTTGTCTCAAATCTCTTCTGTCGTCCGTTTGACAGGCGACAACGCGCCGTCAAGGAAACAGCTGACAGCTCAAGCCGGCTCGCTGGTACATCAAACGCATAGACGCGGGTGTAGACGCGGGCGTAACAATATATATATATGTATATATTATTTTATGTATTGTACGCAATAATAGAAAGATGTTTCCCAGATATAAGGAAAGCGTCTAGTATACATTACCAATTAAAACAGCAATTATAGCAATATTATAATTTATCAATTCTCAACAATATACGTATTGTGTACAATGTGTGTTAATTGTATTGTACGTTGTGTGGGAAATCATAATACTGATCTAAAATTACCGTCAGCTAATGTTTACTTGGGCATTTTTGATATTACTATAATGTACTTTCAGAAGGAACATCAAAATATTCAATTAGAGCACAAATGCAATCGCTGCGATGTGGCTTTCAAAAAAAAATTGGATCTAGCGAAACATATACGAGAGATCCACGATTTACAGTCTCCCAATAAACTCAATACAAAAGAAAAATATGTCTGCAAATTCTGCAGCAAGAAGTTCAACTCATGTAGGTTGTGGAAAAATCATGGAAGATTTCACACTGAAGAAACGCTTAGTTCGAAATGTCACAAATCTTTTCGGTAATTTGCTTAATAACACATTTGCTATAATCACACTTTGCTTTGCACTTTTACGATTTTAATACATTTTCTATTTTTATCTTTTGTTTTATTTCTATTAATCTCTTTTAGGTCTGATCGATTGAAATTGCATCATGTACAACGTGAATATAAAAAGGAGTATGTGTGCGATCAGTGCGGAAAATGTTTCAGGTAAAAATATTTCAATAAATTAACAGTAACTTTAACATAATATCGTAATAGCATTGTAATATTATAATATATATATTTTTTTTCATTTTTATCTCTTCGTTTTTTCCTATTGAATCTCTTTTAGTTCGTCCAAATTGAAATGGCAACATGCACAACGTAAACATAAAAAGAAGGAGTATATGTGCGATCAGTGCGGAAAATGTTGCAGGTAAAAACGCTTCAGTATCAATTAATAGTAACTTTAACATAATATCGTAACAACATCGTAATATTATAGTATATATATATTTTTCATTTCTATCTTTTCGTTTATTTCTATTGAATCTCTTTTAGTTCGTACCAATCGAGATGGGTTCATATACAACGTGAACATAAAAACAAGGAGTATGTGTGCGATCAGTGCGGAAAATGTTTCACGTAAAAATATTTCAATA